TATGAAGTAGGAAAAATGAAATCCTATATTCCAGGTTTATTAAATAACTGATCCAGAAACAGTCTGAATAATTTTAACATTGAACAGATTGAAGATCACATGTCCCTAAAAAAAGGAAAGAACTATGCAGCATGTAGTTTTTCAAGATACGTGAGTATTAAGTGCAGCGCTCCAACTCCAGTTAGGGAAATGCTTCTTTTTCCAAAATTGATACAAAAAGCTGTTCAAGCCTGGTTTCTGGTCTGTGATGACTGGCTCAACACCACCTATATAAACTCAGCTTTGGCCTGTAGATTATAAATTATAGATGAGATTGAAAACAGAGTTTGGATTTTGAATTTTATTTAAACTCTTCTAGCAATACGAGATAGGACATTGCAAGTTTCCCACTCACTGAGCAGTAATATGTGTATACCATGTGACTTTGTCCTGCCATGTGATTGTGATTTAAGACATTATGTTTTTCTAAAGGGCATTTCCTATTGGCTTTTATGTGTCTCATCAAACAGGCTGAAGCAGAAGCAGGATACAGACACAGAGGAGCCTCTTTGAACGGCAGCATCGCCGCGCTTAAGACAACAAGCACTGCCTTAAATGCATCTCTCAGTGTCCTGTTATTTTCTGTGGGAAAGTCAGACTGGACCCAAGATGCTGCTTATCTGAGGTTTCAAATTTATTGGATTAGTCTGTTTTCTTACATATGACAATATGTAAGCCATAGCTTTTAGTTCTTTTGTTGCGCTGTAGCTGTTTGAATCCTTTTTTTCTGTGATGACAGCAGCTTCTTTATCAATTTTCAATTTTTTACTTCGAATTCCTTCTCAATAACTATATTAAAAATGTTGAAAGTATGGGGAAATCTTCTAAAATGACAGCTGTTTGCTCCACTTCGTGCTGTAAAGGTGGATTTTCTTCTCAGAGGAAATGTAAATGTTCAGATAGTTTATTTACTCTGGCAGCCTGGCGTATATCTCCTCCGTCTGGTGAATTGCGTTTGACTGTTTAAAAGGATGATTTGCGTGAAAGGGCTAAAATAATGGCATTATATTTTTAGATTCATCTCGTCCCGGCTTTGCTGTTTTTTTTCATCAACTTTCACAGCTTCTGTAATTTCAGTGCAATTTCAGGCTCTGATTGCTCTGTTGCTTGAATGCTAATCATTGCTAGTGTATAACTTCATTTCTTTTTGGCTCTTTATGCATTTAAGGAAATGTCATTTAATAAAGAAAATGAAAAAGTTCGAAGAGGTTTGTAAACAGATTGCACTCCTCAGAGATGCGCACACAACAACGACGCGGGGACGTCTGCTTCTGCAGGACCGTGCTTTACAAAACAACTCTTCAGAGCGCTGCACCCCAGCTGCCTATTTGATTTGATTTTTTTTTTCATGAAAAAAAATGTTCTGTGCCTTTATGAGGACATCTTGGCTTACATTTGTCTGAGCGTAGGCTTTTTTTAAAAACATTTTATCAAAGGTTTCTTTCAAATTTAATTGAAATATTTAGTAAATATGAGTTGTTAATACACCTTGACTCCTCAGAGCTGTTTTTGATGTTATAACAATCACATAAAAATAATTAAATTGAGCTCTCTCAAACAACTCCCTTGGAGCTTCAGCAAGTAATCACATACTGAACATATTTCTGCTAATGACAAAACCCACTGAAGCTTATTATGTGACCTTAGTACCTGTGCTATTGTCCGTGTCCTGTATTCAAGTATTTTGTGTGGCTAAAAGTGTGTGTGTGTGTGTGTGTGTGTGTGTGTGTGTGTGTGTGTGTGTGTGTGTATTCTGTGCTCACAGTACTTATGGCTGCAGTATTTATATTTTCTTCCGCTAGGGGGCAGCAAAAATGACACACACTTATTGAGCAGCACTCAACTCCTTTAAGGTCTTTCAGTCTGATCCATATGAGCAAAATTATAATTTTACTCTTTTACTTTTTAAATGTTTTTGCTTTATTTGAATGTGTTTATTGCCTAATAGACTTCCGAGAGATCTATCTGATTTTTTTATCTCCTACATTTGACATTTGAAATCACTTTTTTTCATAATTAATTTGTTTCATTGTTTAGAATTCGCTTTAGAATTAAAAACTGTTTTTTTGTATCACATTTCCACACGAAAACACAAGATAAACATTTTTCTATGGCCCTCAGATTTTTGTTAAAATGAAATGTGCAAAGAGTTTTAATTTAAACATGAGAAAAGTGTGTCAAACCTAAAATTACCAACAAGTTTCAAGAAGTTTATCTTCTTCCCTTACCTCAAGTCTAAATATGAAAGTTGACCTGACATGCAAACAGAATTTTGTGACATTTCAATGATCTTGTTGGCATTTTTTTTAAGTGTAATATGTTTTTATTTTCAACGAGGGAGAAAAACAACATATAACTGTAAGATGTTCCTGCTAGGTAGACCTGGGCAAATCAGAAAGGATCAGAAAGTGGCCTAATTTATATGGCAGTAAAACGTCCAAAGAAAAATACAAAAGAGTCAGTGAAATATAAAAATAAAAATAAAATATGTAAGGAACGCATGAAAACCGGAGTGCAAAGCAGGGGAGCAAAATAAATATGAATGAAGGACAAATACTAAATACAAAAACAAGAAAGACATTACATGATCCAGAGGAACTGCGTGGACTGAAGAGGTGGGAATAATAAAGCCAAGATAGAAACCAACAATAACACAAAAAAGAAATGAATCACAGAAATAATAAAGTCATAACAAGAAGTCAAAATGTGCAGAAAAAAATTCAAAGAACTTGAATTTTCACTAATATAAACCAAACCACCAGACTGCAAACCACAAAATCATAGCAAATTCCAGAGATCACGATTCTTCTAATCTGTATAATTGAATGTGTTCGTGTAAAAAAAAAAATCACATTGCACACACTTTATTACTCCAGTGGGCCATTCTGACCCATAGCTATGGGGCTGATTACTGATAATAAGACCTATTCAGTGGACCAATAACATTCAGTGCGAGCTCCAATCGAAGTATTTTCACATTCCTTTACAACATTTTCACTCTTTAAAATTCAAGCTCACATAAAGCTCTTATTTTTTGTCTATGTGGAATCGCTCAGCTCTTTTTTTGAAAGCAGGGGTTTAAAGTGCTTACAAAATCTATGAATATTCAAATAAAAGTATGTTAATTCAACATGTTTTATACAAAGAAAAAAATGTCATCTTTAAAATGGGATTAAATACTATTATTATAAAGTTATTCATAAATGATAATGTCACGGTGCCTCTCAAATGTTCAGTATCCATCAAATTAAAGATTCTCTGACTGTCAATGAAGCCTCTACAAAGCAAAAGTTCCCCATTTTTTCCTGTGCAACAACACACTGACCTTCTCTGTCCTAAAATCAATTTACTCTAAATTACTTTTCTGTTCCTGTGTAATGGCTCGTGTCCATCTACTGTTGTGGCTTATACCTAAGTAATTGCTAAGTAGTTGTGAACGTAGTCTTTGCCCTTTATCTTTTAGTGAAGCAACATTTAGAAGAATAAAATTCCACATAGTGATATGTAAAAAGAAAGCTTTCAAGGGATGCGAGTATAACCTTACTATTTCCATAGGAATAAAGAGGCTAAGTGATAACTAAATGCACTTGATTAATTGATCCTCAGTAAGTGTGACCGTCTGTATAAAAGCAGATGTTTTGGCAGTTTGCTGGTCTGGAGAATTCAACATGTCTGTGAAGCACAATGGCACAATGTTCCCAGGAGTGGACGTCTTAGCGAATTCAACGCAAGGTCAACATTCAATTTCAGAACTGAGAGAAACTGCAAAAAAACCCCAAAAAACCCCCAAGAGCTACATCTCAGGTCTCAATTAGTCTGAAAAATGTGGGACAAACAAGACAAAAGTGGAAATGTTTGGCCATGATGCACTGCACCAAACACAATGTATCAGCACAACCTCATACCAACTTTCAATGTTCTGGGTTTGTTTGTAGCCTCGTGATCTGGACACCTTGCAGTTGACAACGAACTTCTCTGTATACCAGAATATTTTAGAGTCAAATGTGAGCTGTCTGTCTGACAGATGCCAAAACTGAGTCAAATGATCCAGAGCAGAGCAGAAAATGTACAACAGAAGGGCTGGGCGTGTTGCAATGACCCAGCCAAAGTCCAGACCTCAATGGGATTGAAATGCTGCAGTGGGAGAGCTGTGTATGAATAAATGTGTTTAAATCTCATAGAACTGAAGCTACGTTATAAAGAAGAGTGAGCCTGAATTCCTCCACTGATAAAATCACACAGAAAAGGATTGCTTCCAGTTTTTGCTGCTAAAGGTGGTTCTACAAGCTACTGAATCGTGGGGAGTACTTAGTTTTTCACAGGGCTTCAAACATATCTATGAAAAGCTGTTTTTAAGATTGCATACATCGCTTGTTCTTTTTAAAGTGAACATTTTTTGGCTTCACTGCTGTGTATTTTTTAAATGACACGGTCTTCTTCTGAAAAGATGAACACACTTTTTAAAGCCAAGGACTTTTTAGTTCACTTATCTACTTTTTGCAAGCATCTTTTTTTCATTTTTCGCTGAGCAGTCAATGGCAGCTTAACCTCTGAGACCTACAGTTTTCAGAGACATGAGAGAGCACTTTGCTTTCGAGATTGATTAATGAAGAGACAGAATGTATTGTGTACATCAAAAACCAGATGTAATTCAAGTTATTCAAGAAAGGCAGAGGTTAGTACAAAAAAAAAATTCTACATTTCTGAGAATATTCACGAATATTCACTGAAATGCAACAGGCTTCTTTAAAGGTGACATGTTATGCTCATTTCCAGCACCCTCCTTTGAATTATGTCTACCGGTGGTTCTTTGCAAACACGATTCACAGTTCATTATGTGTTTTACACTGGATCTTGGCTGCCCATTGCAAACAGAAGGTGTGAGCAGCAGGTGGCTGAGGCTGCTGTGCTCACAGACAGAGATGAGTTAATAAACATATTTATGATATCAGATACAGAGGCAGTGGTGGACTTGTTTAATATGAGCATTGTGTGAGTGCTCAGAATCTATATGACAAAAAATAAGGAACGGTGTAATAGGTCAGACTTAATTTTGCCATGTATATATATATTTATAGCATCTTTAATTGCTTTATTTTTAGTTTGTTTAATGTTCTTTTGTTGGACTGAAAAGATAATGCCTGATATTAGAAGTCGTGCTGTCAGAATCACTCTGGCCCATTATGACATGGATACAGGATGTCTGGCACCAGGATGTAGCACATTCATGTCCTGTGGGTTGTAGAATGGCTCCTCTTTGGATCCTGCTTGCTCTTGTGCATCCTGCAGCACAGTCTGATTAGTATTTGGGAAATTTGGAGGCACTACGTATTTGACTGGCTTGCAACAAAGTTTAGGTGGCTGATGTGAGTCTAGGGACCCAAAGTTTCCCAGCAAAACAAAATGTACACCATACTGACTGTATGTGACCATCAAGGTAGAAAAACATTCATCATATCAAAAGTTAGCAGTCACTACTGTGTATTTACTCTGCAATAGAACCTGAAACAGTGATGCAAAATCAAACAATTATAAAAAGATTATTTTAAAACAACAACAACAACAACAAAACCCATTACTGATAGACTTGCCCAGCAATAAAACTTGAAGTCCCTTTTTAGTGATGAGTGGATGAGGTGATGGCTTTCTTCTGTGGCGACTTCTTCAAGTCAAAGAAAACAGACTTTTAAAAAGAAATCTGCACATGCCCGACTGTTTGTTATAGTCTGCAAGTTCAACTGATTCTGAGTAGAGAAAAACTAAGACATATCTAAGAGATCTTTGTACACTTTTATGCATGCATGAAAAAGCTGGGAACAAGAAAGAAAAATAGCATTAATTTAACAGCCGTTTTTTCAGCGTATAGTGTTGTGTTTGTCATATCGGCACTAATAAATCAAAGAAAAGAAGTCTGCTTCTAAATCTCATGAACTGAACAAGAGAATCTCTCTTTAACAGGCATTACCGTGTACTGACAATAATAAGAAAATGTGCCTCATCCATCATTATCATCCTAAAACAAGCTTTTAGAGGCCGACCAGCAAAGAGACATGTAAAGGGAAAGATATCACTTATTGAGAAAATTTGTTAGTTTGTTGCCTGAGACTTAAGGTGTAGACCTCAAAGGGATTTAAAAAAAATTCTTATTCTTTACTAAACATCACAAACCAAAATTACTGATGAGACTAATATGCATGACTCTGGCTCATCCACCATGGTGGATTAGAACGTCAGTTGCTTATCTGTGCCTATACCACAGTAGGACTAGGAGTAAGGGATATGATTATTATTAGTTAAATGAACAACATTTCTCTCAAACGTTAAATACGTTGGTTTGAAAACAGATCGTAGTTCTTTGCCCCTGTTGTCAGATCATCATGGAAAGGCTTCGAGAATAATGCCTTTATTACCAGTCTGATGTGATGCCATCTGGAGCTGGAGGTTTTTGAAGCCTCACCTTCCGGCCGCCACTGCCAAATTTTAGGTGTAGCTCTCATGGACTCATTCTACAGTAACTGCATAAACACATGAGTCAGCTGTGTGCTTTTCCCTTTCTTCCACAGAGGAGGAATCACGGTCACAGTTTGGATGCTTGTGTTGCTTGCACTTCAGGTATGTCGCGCAAGTGGTGGATAACGTAGCATTGAGCTGCCCATCTCCAGCGGAGACGGGAAGAACCGGCTGAAGAGGTCTTCCCAGAGTACTTCTCTTTAAATCCTCACTCACATTTTTTTTTTAAATCAAATACATCTTTTGATTTAATTGATACTCATTCAAGTGACAACTCTTGCCGGTCTGGAGCTGGAAGGGATATTTTTCACACTCCCCAACTCCTGTAAGGAGACGCTGATGGAAGCTCGCCTTTAAAATACAACATCAGCTCAATGAAACATAATTCCAAAAAAAGGGTGCACTGTTAAATGTTGACTTTAGAAACATTTAATCTCACCTCAAGGTTCAATATGTACGGAAGCTATTCTGGAGCAACAAAAGCAACACTTTTTTCCCTCATGTTTAGATTAAATTTGAGTTGGAAATGTTACTCTTCACCTTGAAAGCAGTAGTTTATTTGAACGACTAAGGTATCCATGAGAAGAAGAAGAAAACACTCCAAAAAAGACTAAGACCTTGTGGTGAGATCGGAATAAAAAAAAAAGTTACATGAACTTATTTGCTCTTTGCTTCTTTGCAGAGGTCTCAAACCATGCTGAATTAGTACTAGTTCATTCCCAAAACTGTTGATTAGTCCTGACCTTAGCTTAGCTTAAACTTAGTGTCACTTCAAAGAAAATATTATTTCAGCACTAAAACCGCTGATATGTGATATCAGCATCTACAGCCTCACATTGATGCAACCATGCAGGTGATCACCTTTAAAAAGTCATTTCTCCTAACCACCCGATTGTCTCACAGGCTTCATAAAAGGCGTCCGCTGAATGAGAGGAAAAGAGAAGCACGAACTGATAAAAAAAAATGACAACATGAAGGCAAATAAACACAGCACAGTGCACAAAGATAGAAAATGTTTATGAAAACGATGCACAATACTGACATTCAGAGTTAATGCTGGCACCGTTGTGCACGTTACAGTTTGCTCGACCGTCAACTTGCTAAACAGAAGCAAGTCCAGTTAGTTTGCTTGAAAACTGTTCTTTGGTATTAAAAAACAAAACAAAACATGTTTTCCACCTGCACAGCACGGAAAATAAGATCACACGATTCTGTAATTTAACACAAACTATAAGGCAGCAGAGAGCAAAACACAAACATAGTGTCATCAAACGCTTACGATAATGCCAGACGATTTTCAAATCCTTAAAAATTACTCTAAAGTGCTTCACGAGCATCAATAGATTGTCTAAATAGGAAGCAACTATGTGGCTTCTAGTCAGAGAGGTTTACAGTTGATTGTCCGACATCGTGCTTTCAGATTACAGCAAGAGCGGCAAGCACATTCAAACGCATCACAGCGTGCTCACCGCTTCTATTGTCTACAGCAAAACGGAAAATCTCTCCGTTCCGGTGGAGCCACCCTGTGCTGCTGACCCTGTGTTTCCTGTTTTTCCTCAGTTAGACCAAATATTAACCTGTTCGGTTATTTTAAATTTAATTGCGGCTATACTTTTACCACATTTCTATATATTTTTGTTCTGAGTGAACAGCAGATGGCAGCAAAGTTGAACTAAATACCTAAAAGTATTTAGGACAGTCCATAGTGTCAAATATCCTTTGGTGTTATCCAAAAAAAAAAAAAAAAAAAAAAATAGTTGTTGAGAGTAAACAGAGAGTTTGTTTTATAAAATGATAGTAAAAAAGACCTGTTAAAAGACATGCCTGCATACATATTAAAATGTCTTTAGTACATATGCATAGTCAAATGAAAGCCTGCCTTGCAGTCACTGTTAATATGAGAACAGGCTTTTGTCAAATGTGACAAATGTCTGCTGCTACATTGATATGGCAGTTCTCAAAGTTAAAGTGCATCAAGTTAGTCAGTCATAATCCCAGTTAACTGCAGGGCCAGTTTCACGAGTAAGTTTGTAAAAAGTTAGCCTAATAGGCTCCAATGTTCTGATCATGGCTTGTTTGATTTACTTGCCTATTTACTCTTTAACCTATGTGTCCAATATATTATAACAGTTCACTCATCAAACCCACTGCAAAATTATTTGGTGCAGTTTTCCTTGCTTGACAAACTACCCCAAAGTAAACTACTAAAAGTAAACCAAATTTTTTTTTGCATAAGTAGCCTACAGTGTGTCTTCTTTGGCTAGTGCACACCCAGCACACCCACACATCTAACATCTACCTACAGTGTCATCATAAAAAGTAAGTAAACATCAGGAAGGTGCTTGTGCACATGTACAAAATGATAACAGGTTGAGGACGCTGCAACTAATGAACTCCTCGGCCTCTGGTTTAATGTTGAGGGTTAAATTTTTGCAACTGAAAGTCTAGATTATCCTCTGCCTGATATGTTCCTGCAGCCAAAGCAGTAAAGGCTCTAAAGAGCTCGGCCCATCAGGCACAGCCTCTGTGTACATCTGCAGCAGTACTTCTTGTAAAACAAACAGCAGTGGCAAGCTCATGCTCAGTAGCTCATACAGCAACGTGTAGTCCTGTGCGTTGTCTCTCAGGTGACCGGCAAAGGCCCGTGCTGCATGACACGCGCGCTGGGACAGATACCGGGGGGCGTTGCACACAGCACGAGTCACACTCAGAGGCCAGCTCAGCTGTTTCCTCATGAACGAGCTGAAGGTACCTGCTGCGGGTTCACTCTGCAGGTCTGCCGGACTGCTGGAGGGGGTGATATCTTCATCAGTAGGACGGTGCTCCTGAATGCTATCACGATTCTAAGAAGGAGGTGATGGGAGGAGAAGTTAGACACCTTGTATCCATCATTGTCAGAGGAAGGTGGATAAATACGCACAGGTCTCACTGAGGGTAGAGAGAAAGTCCTCCGTATGCTCGTCCCAGTGTTCCGCTGATCAAAATGCAGTTTGCAGTAGAGTTTCCCTGTAAGATCAAAGTGAAGGTCAAGATGAGCCATTTCAGTTATTCTGTGCCATGTAGGTAATATGTGGCTACGCCATTTGGAGAAGCATACCCTCTTCAGAGTGGAAAGCATGCGCTCCCTGTCGAAGAACAGAGCTGCAGGTCGAACAGCGGAAACACTCCCTGTGGAAGTAAAGCCCCTCGGTGCAGATCCTCTCCACCATATAAACACGCTTCTGACACGAGTGACACTTGTCACCCGACGGGGGAAACGCCCTTCGTACTGAGCCGCCCTGGGAAAACAGCAAAATCATACAAGTGAATTTTAGATCTGTCACTATAACTGACACACTGAGGCTGAGTCTCAGCTTCCTTTACAATGATCCTGCCCTTATGTACTTACTTACTCATGTGTACCCACTGGTTGTAAACACAAATACTTGATTATAATTACCTACCAGGAGTTGTTCCTTTATACTCTACTAGTGTAACTCTTGCTATAATATCTGGCTGTTATAACGGCATCCAATTTACATATTTTTCTCTCTGGCCTGCAGCGCTCCTTTTCCACCTCCAGCAGTTTCTTCCCAAGCTACAATGAAATACGTAAATGGATTAATCCTGTACCTTTCAGTAGAAAAGTCGGAAAAGGTAGCGTCAACACACAACAGTGACTGTGCAGATGACCAATTTTAGCTTTTCCGTTGTTTACGTTACCTTATGCTAATTTGGATTGTAAAGTTGGGGCTGTTCTGACTTTCTAAACTGGACTTCCAACTTCCAACTATAAATGGTGCACACCATATTAACACTACAGGCCAGGAGTAAAACACATAAACTGGATATTTGGGGGGGTTGAAATGGGCTTTTTAAGTTGGAGACAGCTTTTTGGGGAAGGGTGGAGCAGAGAAACCCTAAGAGTGAAACCACAAGAGTACACACTTCTGTCCTCTGAGGACTGCCAGTAATTAAAAGCAAAGGGCAGAAACAGCAGTTCAAGCAAAGCTCTCATGCAAAGCACATGACAATAATAGAAATCTGAGGTTAAAGTACTTATTTTTTTCTATTGAAACAAAGAATAAACACACTAGAAAACTAATGAACGATGGAGAGCACTGCAAACATGCCACAACTGTGTCCTAAAACACGTGCAAATGAGGACACTTTGAGGGGCAGGGAGCACAGAGACACACAGGATAGTGTGGGATCACACATCAAGCTGGAGATATTCACCTTAAGTACATCAGAACCGTTTCCTGGGAACAACCCGCTAAGGTGGACGGCTTTTTCCTTTATACTCTTTGCATGAAACTCTCTAACCTGTTGTGTCTGAGCTTTTTTCTGCAGGATGGCAAAAGAAAAGTAATCAGTTCATCCAACAACCCTTTTTGTGTGCGCAGGCAAAATTAGGCAGACTAATAAATGCTTAATAAGCACTGCGCACGTAAGTGATGACAGACCTTTCTATCGTCTTCTCAACGAGAAGCAGGATTCGACAGCTAAGTGTCTATTGTCAAGAAGAGAACAAAGACGTCGCTGTTTGAAAAGCCGCCCTATTATATTAATTTCACACCTGAGCTGATGTAATTACTCAAACTGTACGGGAACAGAAAACCGGGATAGTCACACAGTCCTGGCAGAGAAATGAGAGACTAGTATATGAGTTCAACCAAAGTCATGAATGAAAAGGACAATTACTCATTTTCAGATTAGACTAAAATAATGATGTAATTTATCTCAACATTAATAACACAGGCGTGGGTAAAATATCTGAAGCCAGCAGCTTAAAGGAACATTTTCACATAGCGGCTGACCTATATTTGAAAATACACATGTCCAAAGCAGTCAGATTGGACATTAAACAGTCTCTAATCAGTCAGTTCCATAGTGTAAAGTCTGTATGATGTCTGAACAAGAGGCGACACTTAAACCAATCAACATGTAAATAAGGAAAACGTCACACAGTTTCTGTGGCTGATTCTCTTGACATTAGTCAGAGTTTATGTGTTGAAATAGCGTCATTGTTTTTACAATCTCAAAATCAGAGGCGCGTCAGTGGACCATTCATGTCAGTCTAGAGCTGGAGCCAGGGGCTTAGCTTAGCTTAGCATAAACAGTGGAATGAGGAAAAAACATCTCGTGAATTCATATCCTGTTTATTTATTTATATCGCGCCAATTCACATCAGTCAGCTGGAGAATCTCACATTATTGGAGAAAATCCCAACAATCAAGCAACTCCTCTATGAGCAAGCACTTTGCAACAGTGGGAACAAAAACCTCCCACAGAACAGCTGTAAGTTCTAATATCTTCCTGACTCTTGCTAAAGAAATAAATCAGAGATTGTGTCTGTTGGCAGTCCAACAAAAAAACAAACTAAGTTGCATGTTTCTACCCTTGCGCTCACTGTTTATGCTAAGCTAAGTTAGCGATCTTCTGACTCCAGTCATGGACAGATTTGAGAGTGGTAATAATTTGATAGCTAGTTAGCAACAGTCTGATAGCTCTTAAAAAAAATAAAAAATATGGATTTCAAAACTTTTGTAAGGGATCATAAAAAAGACTAAATTAAAGGCCAAAAACTTCCAACAACGCTAAATACAGATAAGCTAAGTTAGCAAAGGAGAAAAGTGCTCCTAATTTAAAACTAAGCAACATCTACAAAAAAAGGACACTTCACTCAGATTATAATAATTTACCAGTCTATTATTTCTTTCTGCCAGCACTTGAAATAGCTCAAAGTTATCTTTAATAAGCACATGCATTATTTTTCTTCCCATACTTAAAGGAAAGTGCATTCAAAACTAAAATATCCCTTTGCACTTTAATGTCTACACTAAATTATTTGATATTGGATTGATATGTCACTGATACTTTTGTAATGCAGAATGGAGTCGGTGCAGGAAATGGTAAATGGTCTGTATTTGTATAGCGCTTAGCGGGAACCCATTTGCAGCTTGTGACTGCAGATTGCGAATAATCAGTGTGTCTGTTTCAGTTTGTGCCAGGTCTGTAAGACTACTCTTGCAAATTTTTGTCAGGCTGGATAATAAAGGGGCTGACTTCACCATCAGACTGCATATTACACGAGCCTAAATGTATAATCAGAAAATGATATATAATCAACATTCACTCCTTGTTGAGAAACGCAACAATCACAGTGATTTAGAAAGAGGACAGAATGAAAAAACAGACAGAAAACAGGAGTTAAAGAAATAAAAGAAGAGGCACTGTTCACCTCAGAGATGTGTTCGTCCACCTCCTTGAGACGATGGAGGACTCTTGTCATGAAATGGACTGCTGACTGACAGGAGGAAGGAGAAACAGGGGGCTCTGCACCCTCCAGCTGAGGCTTCGTCTCAGCATGCGCTAGATCGACATGTCTGAGCTTTACTACAGAAAATGGATGTGGGGGCTGAAGCTGGGGTTTGGGCAGAGTCTTTGGAGGCAGGCGGACTAACTGTTGTGCTGCTTTTCTGATACTGACTCCAAACTGAAAGGGACAATGAACATGTGAGCTCTTATAACTCGTCACTAAGCAAACAAACAACGAATCCTTTGTTTTTGTGTGCATCCACTCAGAGATCAGATACTGTAAAAAGCCATACGGATGGTTTCAACCCATTAACTAAAAATAATCAGCCTTTTTAAAGCACAGCACAAGTTTTCACATTGATTTCCTGCCCCCTTGGCAGACATTAGTCATGCTAGCACAGTATGAAAATCAGCCCGCATAGGTAATATATCAATATGGGCCTGTTTGCTTTATGTTTTCCCAGAGTTATGTAACCATCTCGTGGTCATGCATGTGTAAGAAGAACCTGTTTTTAAAGAAGATTTATTTGGGGGATGCTCAAGAATTGGAAAAGCAGCCTGACATCTGAGACTGCAAGTCAGCAACCGAAGACTCAACGTGAATGAAAGAATTTATGACATTGCTGACTGTTGCTTTTTGCTGGTTTTCCAACAGCTCAGCTAATGAATGCAATGCTTTGACTTCAGCAGTGGCTGAATAGGACACAATGTTTGTTTTTTTTATCTCATTGGCTACGACTATTCGCAAACATAATAAGCAGCCATCTTGGAATGTAAGTAAATGTATGTGAAATTCCAAAAAATGTTCAAGTGACTTTAAAATTGTAAGTTTTTCTATCAAAGAGTTCTTGTTTGTCCACAAACTGCTTCATCCTGAGCCTGTTCAGTGACTATCTGTAATACAGGCGTGGATCTTATATTCATATAATGTGTGATTCTGAATATTTAAATATATATCAAATGTGAAAATTAAATAAAGCTTGAATTTAAAGCTAACTGCAAAGTAAGCATTGTTTACTTGATTTAAGTAACAAACAGATGTCTAATTGTGTATTTTAAATTTTGAGATTTCAGTTTTGTGCCAGCTTCACTGAGTGTGCGTGTGTAACATGTGATTGCAGTCAAGCATGAAGGCATTTAGCTGGTTTATGGAGTAAAATTACGGTAGGGACCGTGTCAGTCAGACCCAAAGAAAGCAAAACCACAAGTATGGCCTTTTAAAGATCCCCAAAAACCTCTGTTTTGGAAGAATTCTGCTAGAGCCTTATACAATAGTGGCATCTGTTACTAAAATCCACTACATGAAGTACATATATTGGACGTGCTGTAATTTTATAGGTTTTAAACACTTTTTTCAGATGCATTTGGTTTGTCTAATTTGTGCAGTTCTGGACTACCTGTGTCACAGGAGAAGGTTTGGGTGGGACCGGAGGTCTGAGTTTAACGGGCAGACCGTCAGTGAGGTCGAGAGTACGGAGGAATGAGGACTCCTCCAAGTCTGACTGTGATTTTGCAGAGGGTTAGTAAAAAGAACAGAAACAGAAACATATGAGTAGATTAAATATCAGCAGCAAAATCAGACAAGAGAAGATTTTGAGGCACTAGCAAAAAGGAAAGTTTTGTCAGATTAAAACCACAAGCCACTGTCTGAATCGAGCTCATAACTGGGGAAATTTAAATCATATTTATGATCCATGAAATAAAAAGAAAAATTCTATGGCGATTTTACCATTTCTGGACTGTTGTTTAGATAAATGTAGTGCATACAGTACTTAGTACTCAGGAAATAAAATAAAATCTACATACGATTGCGAGACATATTGGTGTATAGTTTCTACCTGTGTTTTGCGGATGGTGTAGTTCGGTTTATTTTCAAACTTGGCCAACAACTGCGTAGCCATAGAGCGCACTTTATTTTCCTTTGGATCCGGCCTGTCTCGAACTGTGGAGCCATTACTGGCCAAGTTAGTGGCCTAAAGAGAGACAGACAAAACTTACTGCATAAAAAACCTGCAAAATGATCAACTATGCACTTGCAAATTATATGCTAACAAACCTCCTCCAAATAGAACTTCCGCCTTCTTTTGTAAATGGGGTCTGTACCGTCTAGCTTCTTCTCTTCCTAAAAACAAAGAGCAAGGAAAAAAATCAGAATATGTGACAGTCATGATTAATCAATAACAAGTGGGAATAAAGCAAACCGAAGGAACAAACAGAAAAACTTGCACTTTTGCGCAGAGTTACCTTTGGCACCCGTTTCCTGGTCAGTGCAAAATTGAGCACATTATTATTACTTTTGACTTCCTTCGACGGATAATCTTCATTGTTTTCATCCACTCCTCTGGAACCTGCAGAATAACACATGACTGCATTAACAGCTTCACATTTTTCAACCGTGAACAGCCAGTAACGTCACATTATTGTGAAATTCCCTTACAGATCACAGAATATGTAAGAGTGGTTTGGGAGAAAAGAGGACACCCCCTTTCATTTCCCTGAAACAGTGAAGCTGAAGTAAGAAGTTGGGGGTTAAATATTCCAAAAGAGTTAAGGCAGAAATTTTAAAAGCACTTCTGTTGAGACAGACAGCTGTATGCTGTTGAGAATCTCAGACTTGTGCAACCTCGCAGTGCTGGTGCAGATACACATTCCTCTCATACCATTACACTTGATTAACAGGATGGAACAACATGCGAATTTTTTCACAGAAAATCCAAAGAAATGTAAGACCTTCAACACCGATGGAATTTGGTGTAAAAGATAAGGAATAAAAACAAAACAGAGGGAGAAATATTACGAATACCAGGCTTCAGTGGCTATAACTAACAACACAGAATAATAGAGCAGGGCACCTGATGCAGGTAGAGGCGTTCCGCGGAAGAGCTCGTAGAACTTGGACAGGTAGTTGATCATCTTGGTTTTATCCAGCTCCTCCTCTTTACTCAGCTCCTTCGCAGATGTGAATGGACGAATCCCAAATTCCCGCTCACTGATGTCAAATGCCAGCTGGAGGTTTGCAACGTGGTCCTCGTCGTTTAATGAGTCAAAATCTCTGATGGAGGCAAAAACAGTCACACTGAGTATTAAATAGTATAAATATATTATGTGTTTTTATTGTAATTTAACACAAGTGGTCAGAGTTTTTTGACTGTTTTGCTTTTGTCTGGTACTGGTTTACAATTTCCCAAATCACTCCTCAACAAACACATAAAAACTTGTTTTTAAAATATGGGTATTACGTTGACTTACAGTCAGTGGCCACTTCATTAGGTACATCTGTTTAACTGCTTGGTAATCAAGATAGGCAGCCAATCACACGACTAAATTCAGATACAGCCAAGATGGCCTGATGAAGTTCTAACTAGGAATCATATTATGGACACAAGATGATTTAAGTGACTTTAAATGTGGGATGATCTGAGTAATTTAGAAACCGTTTTGGGATTTTCCTAAAAAAACCATCTCTATGGTTTACAGAGAATGGCCTGAAAAGAGAAAATTTGTGAAAATAACTTGTTGACACTGGAGGAAAATGGTCAGAATACTGATCTGAGCTAACAGAAGGCCAACAGTAACTCAAAATAAGCACTTGTTTTAACAAAGGTATGCAGAAGAGCATCCCTGAATGCACATGAAGCAGATGACCACAATAGGTGCTTACTCCTGTCATCTAAGAACAGGAAACTGAGGCTCCAAATCACATGGGCTCACCAAAATATTATTATATTATTTAAGATGCACTGCGAACATGTGTGGTGTGTAAGTGACATTCTTTAAGGGAACTGTACATTTCATGTGACTGACAATGACTACATGTGCAAAGGAATGACGTCACTCAGAAACACATTTTTATTTCCAACACAGCCAAAGAACCGCTTTCCTCAAATGCAGGAGAAAATAGCAGCCAGTAGCCTCTAATGGGGGAAACGGCATCTTTATGTCGTCACCTAAGTGGACAGTGTGCAGACGACTTCAGAAGTAATGAAGTAATGTAAAGACAAGAGCGGTAACCTAGCAGCAGAGCACACAAACTCTGGCATTATTCGCTAAGTGCTCAGGCTCACTTTTTTCTGCCTTTCTCTTCTGTGAACCTGCTCTGTCTGCTGTCTGCTCTGCTGACAGTCATGCATATGGAAAAGAGGAAAGGGGAAAAATGCCAGTGGTTCCTGGAAACTTACAGGACCAGATGAAATTGTGGTGGCATGTGGCAAGGTATGAAGGCACTAATTAAGGGGTTAGAGGATAAAATTAGAGTTACTAAATCCATGCTGTGAGAAGCAGTCTGATCTGAAACGTGGCAAAGAATGAAAGTATGGCTTTTGTTCTTTGTTCTTGATTAGCTGTTTTTCTCCACAGCTCTGAATCAATAGAGAGAAAAACTTGGGTTTTTTTGTAGAATTAAATACAAGTCAATAGTAATTCTGTTGGACACACATTGCTATGGGTACTGGAGCAGCTAGTATTTATTTAATTTGGCTTGACATGTATGAAATTTACACAGCTGCACACTCCTGTGAGCACCCAGCTAGTTCGGGGACAGCTGTGCATGAAGTATTTTTTACCCATCTATCAGCACAAGTTCTAAGGAGGTAGAGAGCAGATCAGATAAACACACATATAGATCAGTGCCCTTCATTGCATACCAAGCATATTTAGCATTCCATTTTAAGATGTGAATTTCCTCACAACTAGTTGTTTTTGAAGAGCTCATGGAGTTCATCTTCTCAGGAAAACAGATAACGCTCATGTGAATACATGCATGCTACGACTATGTTAACGCAACTGGTTTGGGATCAGTTTGTGGCTCTGCAGGTTGATATTATCTGACAGTTGATACGTACATCAGCTGAGGTTTGAATCTGTGGATGAGGGCACAGAGGGCGATACCATTTTTCCAAGAAGATGCCAGGTCTGTGATTATCACATTCCTGTAGCCCTCCGTCTGCTTCTGGCACCAAGTGAGAAGCCTCGCTGGTCTGACCTCTGAGTCTGCCACAGAAGCACAAAAAAGACGATTTTTTAAAATGATCAAATTCTTAAAAAGCAGTGAAAAGAAGGCAGGCTGCGTTAGAAGAAAGTTTCGGTGGTTATGATGTCAGATATGATGTCACGACGACAAACCAACAAATATTGTGCTGTTACATAAAGTGGCAAGAAGATGTTTAGAGTGGGTGCTGGGGTTTGTACACAAACCTGTAGAAACAAGTACGTGCTTGCTCATAAGAGCGAATGACTGACTAAAGTGGCTTTACTCAAACACACAGAGTAGTGCGAGAATAATCAGACTAAACAGAATTCTGGCACCAATGTTTACTTTTCGCTTCGGGTTTCAAAATTTTGTCATTGATTTTTTTTTAAATGTTTAAACGCAGGGTTGTTTTATGGACGTGACATTGAGTTTTGTTGATATTGGAGAGGGATGTACGTGTGTTTGACTGTTTCTTTCATAGCTCGGCAGCTCTTCTTTCAAAGTTTCCTCTCTTCAATGAACCCACATGTAAAAACAAACCTCATATCGTGACTTATTCCCTAAACTGAAGTTAATTCTGGCGACTTACTACTTCTGTTAGAAGGGAAGGAACTGAATGGGGGAGATTTAGGCTACAATGATTGCATTAGGAGCCTTTGAAAGGAGAAGAAACCCTATTAGTTATAGTATTAGTGAATAACCGGAGATGACTCAGTGGCATTCAATTCCTTTAACCCTTACCACGTCTGGAGAGATTGACAGGCCGTCGTATGGTAGCGGCACGCTCGAGAGAGCAGGGGTTAAGCTGTCCGCTAATGTACAAATGACGCACCTGAAACAGAAAGGCAAAGAAAAAGCTGTTGGAACTGAGATATTAGTATTAGTATTTAAATGATCCATTGACAGATTTGCTGACATCTCACCTGGTGAGGCCTGATGCAGGTAGAGTTGAGGTTGGGGTATCGAGTTGCTGGGTCTAGGGTGTACTGCTCAAAGTTTTTGGCAATGTTTTCAGGGGTTGTCTGTGGTAGTAGTCGGTAAATGCTCTCCCTGTACCAAGACAAGAGGCATTACTGCATCACTTTAATGCCAGTGTGTCAAACCTAAGGCCCGGGGGCAAGGATCAGTCCCCTTCAAGAAGGCCAACGGGACAGTTTTGGAAAATGTGAAGGAGGATATAAACTTTTAACTGTATTTTCATAGTTTTATAGCTTTTCCTGCTGATAAAGACCGAAGTAAGTAAGTAATAGATAAACATTTAAATAACAACATTTTTCACTTGGTTCAAAAATAATTAACAGAAATATTCCATTTTATAATTACAGGAAACTCAACACAATGAGCTAGCAGAGTTTTTTTCTGTAATGTTACACACAAATGAATAAATAAATAACAATAATGCATTTTTTTCTTACAATTAAAAAGATTTATTATTATTAAGCCCAAAGCATTTCTTTATCATGTAGAAAAACGGACATGTACTGCTAAAGTTGCACTTCTTATATTAAAATATTAAAATAATTAAGTTAAATTAAATGTGTAGTTAAATTTCTTTACACTGAGAGAAAGGTGAGTTTCACTGCTCCGGCCCACTAAAGATCAAAGTGGGCTGTTCGTGGCCCACAACGTAAAATGAGTTTGACATGCTGATTATGTGAACAATGTGTTTGAGTAGCACAGATTTATAGGAGGCGCTCACTAATGCCCAACATAAAGTGTGGGTACCTCTCTGCCAGCACTTCGAGGACCGGCTGACCCAGCGCCCAGCTCTTTACCATCCAGGCCGTGTCGAAGGCAGCCAGGAAGCCTCTGGCGCAGCCTGTTCCCATTGGCCAGAAGGGCTACACAGCAACACACAACAAGTTTGCCAGTTATTGTTAGAGGCATCGTGCCGTGGCTTTTAGTCTGTTTGACATACTTCTTCTCTTGGTCATTGGGGGATATACAAAAAAAGGAGACAAGCTTTTTGGATTCCAGGATTGAAGAGGAGGTCGTAGAAGTTGAAATAATGGAAAAATAAAGTCATGCTTAAGCAAACTGCAAACATGAAGTGTTAGGGGGTGATTATGTTTTCTGAGTGCAGATTTCCTTTTACAGAGAGACTGCTTACACAATAAAAAATAAAAGTGATGGGAAACCAAAGAAATGAGAAAAATGTGGCTCCATTAGAGAAAAGTTTGGTCTTGTCTGGAATTTGGGATGTCTTTAGTATTTCTGTTGTTGTTATGTTTTACCCTGTCATGTCACATACCAAAGCATTGACTATCCAAGTTTAAATACCTTACACACTTTCCTAAAAAAGCTCAGGTTGCCCATGTCTCTAAATAGATTCCTGAAATGTCCCTGTGTGCTTCTGGACCACCACCATTGTCTCAGAGCACAAAAATTCTGCTCCCTTAGTGATTCCAGACAACATCACCATCAAGTTTGAGACAGAGCAAACTGTAAACGACCGCTTTCTACCCGGTCTTCTGCCCACAGCAATTGGATAGAGGAATTGAAATATCCATGCCATGAATGCCGGATTCTGCTACTTGCTGTCTTACCTCAAGCAGACTGTCGCCAACCAGTGCTACCAGCAACTGGTGTCCAAATCTCTCCCTGACCAGAGCAGCGTTCTCAGAGGCGTACATGTTAGTGAAGTCAAACATTGCTACATCTGGCTGCCCGCAATGGTTCATGGCAAAGTCCAGTGTGGGAAGTTGGTAGTTTGTGCCAAAGTCAGCAGCCTCTCGGGCGTAGCACAAAAGAGCTTCCTGGTTGACGTTTTCACCACTCAGCAGCATCTCTGTGTCTGAGTAATCCTGTCGGACCGAAGCAGTCAGAACAACCACAATGAATTTGTGAAACAAAAGCTCTCTGTTTATGAAAGAAATCAACGGAAGACAGTGAATAAAGGAAAAGTAAGTAAGAAAAACTGATGAGCACAGATTTATAAATGATAAAATCAAATCGTTCTGAATCGAAATCTCTGAAGCATCAAGTTCTGCCAACATCTGTCTGCATCTGTTAGCGGTTATGGTTCTCCTGAATCCAGTGCTTAGGGCTAAACAAATTACAATACAATGAATTTAACACATGACCGACACGGTCTTAGAAATAAACAAAAGATTTGACAATTTCAAATTTATTGTATTTAGTTCATGATATTAATTCTTGGAATAAGAAACCTGAACTGAAAATTGCCTGTAATATTCTTTATTTTTAAAATATAAGATAAATAACAATAATAAATAAAAATAAAAAAACAGACAGCATGAAATAAGATTACAGCAGATCTGTGGAGCTAGTGTATTTTGCTCACGTTGATGACGACTCCCTTGTCCAGCAGGCTTTGTTTCTTGGCAGTCATGACAAAGTAATGTGTGTTGTCCTTGTAGTACACAATGTTCTCCAGATCAATACCTGTGACAAATGACAAGTTTGCGTTACGGCTACAATTCATAAAAATCACCAACAAGCTTTTTCCACAGAGATGAAAGCTTGAACTCGCTTTTGTATGCTGAAAGGGGTTTAAATAAATGGTTTCTTCACACATCAGTGTCTCTTTCTGATGAACAGACTTCTTATTTTTTATTGCTGGAGGCTCAGAATGATCACAGTGAAAATAATGAAAACAGTCGCTGCACAACATTCTTGATATTTCTTCAGGTATTGAGAACACTGTGCAAAATATCCCTGAAACTTTTAGTAAATTTGAAGATTTTAGATCTGATTTTTGCTGCATTTGGTCTGTAGTGACTCAGTGGTCTCACAGAGAAGTTTAATCTAAACAGCTTGGTTTTCATCTAACAGATAATTGTGGCTGATCCTGTTGGATCCATTATTATGTGTGATATTTAAGACTCATCCACTGTTGAAAAAAAATTGAAATGCAAAAATTGGATGATGTAACATGCATTTTCTTTAATCGCATGTGTTTCATCAAATATTTAACATGCTTTTAAAGTGTCAAACTGTAGCAGTTTGACAACCACCGTTCTCCTGCCAAATCCAGAATCATCCATCTGATTACCAGACAGAGAAGTGGGATTTGCAGCTCCAGAGAACACGTCTCCACTGCTGTCCACTGGCAGCAGGCTTTACACCACAGCAACCGCCACTCTGCATTGTGTTTGGTAACGTAAGGCTTGGATGCAGCTGCTCAGCCATGAAAACCCATCCCATGAAGCTCTGTAGGCACTGTTCTAGAGGTAATCTGAAGCCCACATGAAGTTTGTAGGTCTGCAGAAAGTCGGTAACCTCTGTTGACCCTACTCTGTGAGTTCATAACTGAGTTGCTGTCGTTCTCAATCACTTCCACTTTGTTACAATACCACTAACAGTTGACTTATATTTAGTAACGAATTCCTCACTAAATTCACTGAATTCACGGAGCTGCAGGTGTAGGTGCTTGATTTTATCCACCTGTGACCATGGAAGTGATCGGAACAGCTGAATTCAATGATTTGGATGTGTGAGTGAAAACTATAACAACACAGTGTAACACCCAGTTTGTAATCTTACTATAATACACTAAATCTCCTTCTGTCTGTTTGCTTGCCCACAGACTCCTCCTACACTATCAGGAGTTGAGCAACCAAAATTGGCACACAGGTACATCTTAGGCGCCTGAGGGCTTTTCTCTATGTCACATATCATGATGTCATCATGTTGCCTAGCAACCATCTACTAACAAAATGACTCATTTGTTGTGTTAATGCACCTATAACACCTTGTGAAACCATAACATTGTTTTTATTTCACAATCGTAACATCACAAAATCAACACAAAAATTTCAATATGGATGATATGACATCATTACGTTACCTAGCAACTACCCACCAAGGGGATAAAAATCATATACCAAACAACAATAAAGCATTGGTGATACTGGACTCAAGACAATTCAGCATCAGATACTGACTAACTAGGCATTTATTCAAATTTAAGCCTCTGAAATTGCCAGGTTTAATGAGTCTATTTGCACTCCCTTCCCACCTGTCTCTTCTTTGAGGTCAAGAAAGAACTTCTGGTTGAAGATGAAAGCCACTCCACTGATCTCTTCTACTTTGGCCTCTGCGGTGGTGTTCCTGTTGATGAAGTTGGCTGTGATGGCGATTGCCAGTTTACCCCTGAACTCCTTCCTTTTGAAACCTGGGAGAATGGAAAAAATAAAGACGGAAGAGAGAAAGAAATGGGGATGTTAATCTTCACAAGCAAACAAAGGCCTATCATCCTTTCCAGAGGAAATCTAGCAGTAAACCACAACTGCAAGGAAGTCATTTTAGGATAAGAGGCAGCTTGCCAAGGTGATTCTTTTTAGCGACAAGGAAACAAAAAGCTATGTGTTGTAAAAAGCCCGAAGAAGTAAACTGCCAAACGTATCATCAAATTAGCCTTCAGAACCAAAAGTATGTGGCATTCTTTCATTTTATTAACAATGTATTCAAGGTGTAAGAATTCAAGTTCAAAAATAGTTTTAAAAGTATCTTTGTGGAATCTAATTAAATCTTTTAAATACAAAAGTAGCAGAATAGCTCTGCTGATGACTGCCAATGTCAGATCTTTTGAACAGAAATGGACACATGAAACAAAAAAAAATAAAAACATCATGCATTCTTCAGTCCCATAACCAAAATAACTCAAATTAAGGTTCAACATTTTACTGGCAAATCAAACTATTTTCTTTTCCAACCTGTAAATGAAAGACTCCCAACTATGAGTGTGTGAAGGCTACGAGGAAGGGGGGAAATCAAGTGGTTCCATATAACAAAGTGATGTGTGCAATAGTGACGGTACAGAAGTGATGCTCTGAGCATGTGCTGCAGCCTCTCCGCACTGTCACTGTTAAATGTCATCCGTCACTTCACTGCTCGTTTCCAAAACCAGCAACAACAAACGGAGAGCATTTTGCTCTATGTTACCGTAGCTAAGACACAAAAGCAAGCTCACTGCAGGGAAAAATTATTTCCCCCAGGAGTCTTCATAATTGGGGAATGAGCTAAACGTTTTGTTCTGCCCCAGAATGCCCTTTTTAGGAATAAGCATTTGTTGTGAATTGGTCGTTAGATGACAGCATTTTTAAAAGAGAGGAGACGGATGGAGATGGGATGATGGAACCGATCCAGGGGGAAAGCATCAGCTGCTGCGCTGAGCCCCAGCTCTGCTCTATTTATGTACAGAGCTTTGGCTGTTTTGTGTGCAGCCGGTCCCACTGGGAGAGATCAATGGCTCCGTGCAAGTGCAAGTTTGCAAAAGGTGGGTTTCATTTATAGCATTGTAATAACGTGCCTCAAGTTTATTTAAAGTGAGAGCCCAGAAAAAGTCTGGAGGAATGTAAGGGCTGTAAAGTGCACAATAGGTCTGCTATTAAACTATTTTTGAGCAATTTCTTAGTCACAACAGGTTCATCAGGTCTAAAAGTACAGTACATCCTTGCGGCATCTATACTCTTCATCACTTTTGTTTGCCGTCTTCTCACCTTCCAGGGTATTTCTGCGTCCGTCAGCTCCCACCACCACATCAAACTCAAAGTTAGCCACGGGGTGATCAGCAGGTTGGATTGCAGCCCTCCACCCAACCCCTGAAAGACAGAGTAAAACTGAGAGGGCCGAAAAGCCACATAATATAAATCCTAGGACAACAGCCTTTCATTCCTATTTGAATATTCCACCACAGAACAATAACACATGCCATGGGGAATGTTACATGATAAGAACACCTTTTCTTCCTGGATCACTCCGCCACCTGCCATGCTTGTGCAACTCTAAAGTCATCAGCATAGAGTGAACAAAAGGAGAAATAGAGCTTTATGATCAGCAGGAAAGTAAGAGACTCAAAGCATAAGGTCAACTGCATCTGGCCTGCAGACCATCAGCATAATTAAAGTCTGAAGTACTCTTTCAACTTTATTATGACCCATTTTAAGCGTGCAAGTGGGAGCTACAGAAGTGTGAGACCAGCACAGGAACAGCTTGGCAGGTTGTGCAATATCATCATGTGGAAAATGCATTCCATGATGTCAAAGGCACGGCTAAGTCCGTCGCAGCAGAGCACAGAACACAAGTTTGTGTCTAAATTTAGGCCAGGCTCTTCTTGTTATCACTGCATTGATATTACAGCTGGAGGAACAGCACAATAGCATGTTCGCTATTTTCTTCTTCAGAGCTTATAGGGAAATGCAGGATGTGAGGGTCAAGTAGTCATTTACGAAGCAGCGCTCAGTTAATGCCATTAAGTTGGGGAAAAAAAGGAAAGTGATACTTTTATTCTCACTGCTTTCTAATACATGAAGTCCTCCTGTATCAGATATGCATTTGAGCAAAATAACCGTTGCTGACCTCATCCAAATATGATAGCAAAGTACTTCAATGCCAATGTTTATCTCGTGTTTACCGGTGGCTGTCAAGGAAATTAAATACTGCAGGATGAAAAGTCTTTCGCTGTCTAACCAGCCTTGAATATGAGCCGAAGCTGCAGAGCAGGAGGATTACTACAAATCCTCCAGGAAGCTCCACAGTATAGATCTCTAAAGAAACGTCTTCATTGAGCTTAACACATTGTTAAAAATCTCAACTTCACCTTATTAAAACACCAAGCTGTACAATTTCAGCCTTTTAAATCTCCCCAAATCTTGCGGCTAATAAACAAACTGTCAGCGAGTGAAGACAAACTCGCTGTTAATCTGTTGTTTGGACATGAAACCGACCTTCATTTTCCTGAGGTTCCAACAGGTTGACAAACTCCACATTGATGTGAAACTCCACGGCAACAATCAGGGCAACCTTCAGCAGGATCAACTGCAGCTGCTGAATGCCTGCAAGACAGATTCAGATTAATGTTTGGACACAGATGTAAGCCTGCCAGTTTTTACACCATCTTGAGAGGAAACAGCTCATTGTTTGAAAATTTGAAAGCTTTATACAAAAGGAACGTTGAGATCATGGATTGCTTCTTTTGTACAAATGAGTTTTATACAAATGATTAAAATTAAAGATGCACCGACTGACTGACCAGCGACCACTATTGTCAGATTTCTCACCGGCCAATCAGACTCACGTGTCCCTTTTATGCATGCACAACACACATGCAGTGGTGAGGAAAACACCCAAAGTAAACTGCGAGGTGACCACAGACTCTTACAGACTCTTGAATCACCCTCACCCGGCTGAACACGGACATTTTAAAAAAAGAGAACAAAGGGAAAGCTCAGAGCAAGCCACGAGCTAGCAGCCTCGGTATGAACAAAGAACCAAAGCAGTTATGAGGAAGATTTATGGAGACAAGTGAAACTAGAAACTAATATAATTACCCAACATTAGTTTTATTACATAAATCTGCTGCACCTGCTTTTATTCAGTAAGGTAAAAATATATTAGCTAAAGGTGGGTGTACAGCAGCTAATTTTCAGTTAATTATCCGTATATATAAAAAATTTATTTAACTGAACTAAATTGAGTTGAAAAACCTAAACCCTGAAGCACAAAAGGTTATTTTTTTGTCCTTTTTTCCCAAATACTGCAGTTTCTATGCTTATCTTTCTAGAATATGAACAGACTGTTACTGCTGCTTTCAGTACAACTGAATGAGCTGAATAAAAACATTTAGTGCCCAGTGCACAGAAAAGGTAAAAAAGATGAGCCCTCAACGACACACATTTAAAAAGGTTCTATCTGTCCAACAGCCCAACAGGTCTTTTTTGTCACTTTGTTTTTATTTGTTTTGCCAAACTTATCAGAGATGCAGGCTTTTAAACTGAGCTCAGGTAACAACCCAGGTGGTTCCTCTACTTTATAGTCCAAATGATGCAATTTCCATGTTTTCCAAAAAGAATTTTAAATTTTGATTCATCTGACAACAGATCAGTTTTTTAGTCCTTAAATGAGCTTTGGCTCAGAGAAGCCTGTCTGGATCATGTTCACACGGCTTCTTCTTTGCATGATTCCTGAAAGTGTTCCTGAACCCATGCAGTGATTTCCATGACAGAATCCTGCCTGTTTTCTAATGCGCTGCCACCTGAGGACCTGAAGATCACAGGCATACTAGTTTTCACAGGCATCCAGTACCCTTGTGCACAGAAATTTCTCCAGACTCTTGGTAATATTATGCATGTACAGCACCTTAATGTCAAATTGTTTGCAGCATAAAGCACTTTAAGGTTGTTGTTAATAATTTGTGACAACAGGTCAAAGAAAAGCAAAGGCCGGTTTAGTTTCAGATACTCACTGATGTGGTTGATGGCTCCGGCACAGAATTTTCCATAGAACTTTTTGGCCCCCAGTCCCCGCAGGTCATGAATGGTATAGGGCCAAAGATGGAGCACGTTGTTCCTGGAAAAAGAGTCCCTCTTTTCAATCACCACCACTTTAGCACCCAGTAGGGCAAGTTCAATGGCAGTCCGCAGGCCGCAGGGACCTCCTCCGATGATGAGGCACTAAATAAGAGGGAATGACAAATTGACCTCATTAGCAACACAAGGAACCAAGCAAAAATCTCAGTCTTTGTACAATATTAATAGCAGAAGGCTGAGAGTTTTCCTGCAGAGTCCCAGATGAAAAATAGTTCACAGCCAACTTGTTTATAACATGCCTAGAAGCATTATGACATCTGCATAGATCACGATAGAGAGTACCATTTCACTGCACCACTGGACCATTTAGAGGCTGAGTGTCTTACTTAAAGACCCTAAAGGAAGACTGGCATTGACTCAGAGAATTATTGTGTCTTAGGATAACTTCCCCAGACCACCCGGTGTGCGTGAGGATTGTTAATAAAACACATTAAACGTGAGAGAGACAGATTACGGGTGCCCAAAGTGGTGCATTTGTCAGGAACTTCCCAAAAATGGATATTTGCGAACAACTTCCACCCACCTAAACCAACCTTTGCATATCGATCTCGTTATTCACGCACCAGCCTCTCCCAAAAATGCATGAAGTCAGTTCACTGAGGTTACTGCGTGTGTCTGAGAATGTGCGGTTCAAACATGACATCATTCCTTGAGTGATAGATGAAAGAAGTGACGCATGTGTGCTGGCAAACTCTCCTTTCCTTATGAGCACATTAAGAGGCTTTACAGAGAACTGTGCAGAGAGAAGATGTGTCTCAATTCTTTTGAGATTTAATCCAGAGGCAAGCTCCGACTCCTGCTGGGTGCAACAAGGCGGACTGTCTCCTGTCTCAATAGCCTCACCACATTTTAAATGCTGAAAATATCTTTTCTTTCACTTTTCTTGGAAGGTTTGCCACTTATCCAACACAAAGATCTATAGCAGCTCACTCCCTGCCATCCTGAGTCTCCAACAACTACACAACCAGAAAGAGTGAGGAGGGTTAATATGTATCAGCTCTGTGAGACAATCCGACATCATGACCTAATCGACTTCTTTCCCTGCACCAAAAACAAGCAGCTGGGTTTTCATCACTCAGCACTGTCTCTCGCATTGAGCAGCTGAGCACCAGGTGTGATGAAGAACACAATGTTGAACCATGAGTTGCCCGAGGTTATAAAAATGAGGTATTCTCAGGTGTGGAGCACAAACAGGTGGTGGAAGCATTGCCTGGACAAGCCTACTGGCAAGGTTTGTTTTCCTCAACAAAGAGGAAGTTAAGCGAACCAGCTATTTTCACAGCCAGACCGAAATCGAGGATGCTAAAAAAAAAAGTTAAAATTAAAATTAAAAAAACCCACAATGTCGCAGCAGAGCAGCACTAAATCGGTTTGTTCAGATGTATCGTCACAGTGTGTCCAATTTTCCTAAACTCACATCATCGCTTTGATCTCTCCAGCAATAATTAGCAAAGATGTCCCCTTTGTTTGACCACTTTTCCATTCGCTCATATATTTTTCCAGATATGAGGTTTTTCCTGAGGGCCAGCTCCACATCTGCCGAGTCAGGACAAACGCTTCCTTTCAGCTGCCCACCTGTGACCTCATTCTCATCCCAGCCCTGACATCTGTCTCCTGCCTTATCACCGAGCCCAGTTAGTCTGGTGATAAACTCACAGTTTGGTGTGAACGCACAGCATAGCGAGAGGTTATTTATTCATCTTCACATTATATTGTCAACTCATTTTTATAGGATCAAAACAGTAGAAAATAGCAATCACAGAGCAAAAGTTAGTGTTTTCATTTTGTGCATTTTGCAAAACTCAATTCACGTCATCATCATATTTAACCTCCAGAGACTTGACCTCTCATTTGGTATTTTTTTCATTTCTATCTGCGATTGTTTGGAACTGATAAGTAAAAACTAAGAATTTCTTTTATACACAAAGTATTATGTCCTCATATGGGGACAATAGGCTTATTTTACAGCATAACACAATAAAGTCACTATTGTTTACAAAGCCTCAAACACTTTATTGAGCAGTACAAAAGATGAGGTGCCAAAAAGGCTAATCTTGATATATGAGGATACAGGACTCAGGAGGTTAAGGAAACAGAGCAAACATTTACATTTCTAAGATAAAGCAACTTCCAGCTGCTCCATCACTCACAGTGGCTCACCACAACAGATAGTGACAAATGTTTGACTTGACAGATTTTTTTTCTTTTTAATGCAACCCCAAAGGGATCTGTGTCTCCTCCTGGGGATCTTTCACTCCTTAGGCAAATCTGTAACCCACTACACTACGGAGCCACCAGCATTTTGAGACATCTGCATCATCAGTGCAAGTTCTTTTCCCCAAACCCTTGAAAATTGCACAATACATTTTAACTAATAATTCTTGAGCTATAAGTTGCAAAAAAAAAAAAAAAGCCAAATATATAAAAAATTATAGAAACGAAAACTCAAAAATAAAATGGATTTTTTTTTATTTGTCAGTTAAAACGGGAAAAAAACATAATTTTTGGCAATTATCTCATAGTTTAGTTTTTATAGGGTTAAAACCAGCCACGCAATTTTTGCATATTGAAATGAATGATCTCTTAAGGTAAACCCACACAAACAAACCCTGGACCGTTACGCTGCATTACCGCTCTTACTGGTAAGGCTGTTTGGTCTGACCACAACATGCCAAAAGATTTACAGTTGCTCCTTTTATTAGGGGAAAAGCAGATTAGCGACAGTCACCTGAAGATAATACAGGCACGCGTTGGAGTTTTGGACCTCTAGCAGCATTTTAGATTTTGTGACTTTTTAGTGTCACAGTCACAGAGGAATTTTGTATTGCTGTTGTCCATCTGACCATCCCTTTATTGGGAGCATGATTTCTAACAAACAAGATTGAAGGCTTTTGTTTGTTTGTTTTAAATGTGGCACAAACATTTACTTAGACTCGAGCATTAACTAATTTGATTTTGTTGGTCAAAATTTATGGTCAATTTGACCTCTCAAAGTGCAATAATTCCCATGCTCATGACAAAATACCACACTAATGCATACAGGTAATAACATAAAACAAGGAAGCATAAAGGGAGATGATTATAAAGTGCAATTTGACTGTTTGAAGCAGACATACAAAAGGGAGGCGGTGACTCTGGTTTTGTTTATTTTCCTGCGTGCGCTCACAGACAATGCAAAACTCATGTAAAAGAAACATGTAAAGGTTTCCAGGTGATTTCTCTGATGTGCAGGTGATGCTAATGCGCTGGCAGAGTCATGCAGGCTCATGTATACGCACAATGCAGTTTGGAACGTAAAACTGGAACTGAAGAGAAGCTACAAGAAAAACTCCTATATGTGTTTAAATCAGGTGTAATTATAAAAAAAGATCTGTGAGGTGCACTGAAAATGTCTTTGTCTATATTAGGGTGTCAAACTTGAGGCCCGGGGCCCCGAATTGGCCTGCCGAAGACTACAATCTGGCCCACTGGACAGCATTGGAAAATGTGAAGAAGGGCATGAATTTTGGACTTTTAACAGTATTTTCATAAGTTGTACAGCTTTTCCTGCTGATAACAACCTCCTGCACAGCCATTCATACTGCACCAAAGTACTTAAGTAACAGATAAACAATTGCTTTGGTCTACAGCTACATTGATTCGACAGTTTAAAATACGATGAGCTACCAGAACTTCTTACCCTTTAAGTCAGGCTGACATATTTCATTTACCACAGCTGGATTTCTTTAGCATGTAGATAAACTGAGTCATAAAGTTGAAACTGCACTTCTTTTTCTTATATTGAGATATCACAAGGATTAAATGTGTACTTAAATTTCTTGACAATGACAGAAAACGGAGTTTTGCTGATCTGGCCAACTTAAGATCACAGTGAGCCGTATGCAGCCCACGATGTAAAATGAATTTGACATCACTCGTCTTTATTATGAAAAGATTCATTCTGTTGTAGGCAGTAAAACTTCACGAAAAAGACACAAGCTACAGCCACATGTCACCTCAGCCAGCTGTGTCCGGTAATAAAACCCAGATGACATTACATCCTTTTAAAAAAAGTTACTGCTACAGCAGCAATAAGAAGACGAAGAGGTGCTGAGTGATATCACATCTGTTAAAGAGCTGCGCTGTCATAAAAATGACTCGTTACCTCGCGGTTCTCAGAGGAGACGCTTTTAATCACGTAACGGCAGACCGCCTGGCCGTGAGTAATTAAAACATTGTGCAAGTGTACCTGGCTCATTAAATCTCTGGCATTTGCACAATCACAAATTCACTACGCACCACTCACTGGCTAAGCGTCTACATTTTATAACACAACTCTGTGGATTGTCAGAATTAACAGCTTTGGCTCAGAAGTTTAAGGGTCACACTTTCTTCAAAAAATATTTTTTCCTTCTTATTACCTGTTTGGGCGCCGGCTTAAATCAGGCAGAACGAGTAAAACCGGGCTCACATTTTAAAAACACATTTTCAATAATAACGCGGGCCTGGCTACAACCCTTTGAGACGAGCCCAATTTTAGTAACGCTGGGGCCAAATAATCACAGTTGCTGACTGATGCTGTCTGCTTCTCTGGGCAATAAAACAAGCTCTCTCAATCTGAGCGCTGTTGATGGCTGCAAGGTAATCACACTCCTCTGGGTTTTTCTACTTTCCGTCATCACCTTTACTGCCCCCACGCCCGCATACACAGGATACTGTACACACACCCTTTTTTATGGCTCTTTTGTCCCTTTTGCAAGTTGTTTTTCATCATGCACTTCAAGACTACCCCCTGAATAGCGCTCTTATTGCGCATTTAATCTGCTGTCTAAATAGGACTGAATCTTTACACGACAGTCAAAAAAAAGCAACACACAGCTGTCTTCTTGGTTTCCCCCTTGTCTTTAATAGTAATAAAATGCAAATGCATGCAATTTATATTTTTTTCTGCTGGCTGATCTGTCTTTGTGAAAATTTCAGGATGTATTTATTCCAGTTTTGTCATATAACACCTGTCTGCAGCAGAAAACATTTCCTGCCCCGTCTGTTGAGAGCTGTTAAAGGAGTGAAAGAGTAACTGTCTGGGCAAGTAGAGGTTAAAATAAAGACTACTTGAGCTATGGCACTCTGTAGAGCACTTTAGCAGGGTCTCAGTGAGACTGCCCCTGAACTGAGGTACAATTAAAAAGGAGTCATGTGAGACGAAACCATAAAGATACTTCCTAAATCATAAAACATCAACTTTAATGATGCATGAACCAAGCTTTGTGATCATTTTTAGACTTTCAGGCCAATCAACACATTGTTAGCTTTCTGCGCATACCGAGAATAAACTGAAAGATACATGCTTGAGATAGAAACCCCATCAGACTAAACATTTTCCCAGCTTTACTGTTTTTAACCACTTTTAACTTTTAACTAGCTTTATTTCAGCCACTAAACTCAAAAGTGAAGCTTAGAGTCAAAATATGAGAGCTGGCTGCTGAAAGGTTTTGTCAAGCAAATGAAAAATGGTGTGAAAAAGATGACGTCTATCGTTGTTTCTTCTATAAAAAACCCCAACAAAACAGCTGCTGTCATGCAGTACACTCTGCAGTCTGGAGTAAAGGATCCTCGAAACCACTAACAAGGAGACTTTTTAAAAATAGCAACATGGCCGCAGAAACAACACATCAACAGAACTGTCCTAAACCAGATTAGAAACGCCTCTTGTCCTTCTGAAGCTAGAGAATACATTGTTTTTAACTGATTTTTCTGGTTTTAAATAGATGTGATAGAGACAAGAACAGGAAATTTGGGGGGAAAGACCAGGGGAATGAACTGCAGCATAGGCGGGGCCCTCTGGGAATGTTATGAACACTAATCGCTCAGCCATCAGGTCACTCCAGGAAATAATCAAAGAATTTATGGGGCTGTGGAGAGCAGTTGATAAATATAAACAGAATATATCATGTCAACACCTCATATGACTTTTTTGCAGTATGTACAGTAGATGCACAAAGATGTAATCAAACCAACCTTAGTGCCCGCACAGGCTTGGCCTTTTCTGTACTCCTTATGGGACATCCTCTTGTCGAGCTTACTCCAAAGCGCTTTTGCTTTCCAGGAAGTAACCTTTGCCTTCAGACTGTTGTAGAAGGTGCTGTGCTCTGCGGGGTCGAGGTTCTGGCATCTGCAGAGGACGTTAAAGGCCTGAAGGGCTCCTTTGCAGGTCGAGGCCTGGATGAAGTTCTCAAACAGCTTCCCTACATTGTCCCTCTCCTCCTCTGTCTCTCCCATCTTCCCAGCTGCAGTAGATGGTCTGGTGTACGGAGGCGCCTGCTTAGTTCAGCGGTCTCTGCCAGATGTGGCTACACCCTCAGCTTGGCCCGCACCATCATGCCCCGTCTGAGGAGGCAAGACACATAAGAGCCTGACGTCATCTTATGGCAAAGAGTCTCTCATAGGTTGCTTTAGGCAAATGACGTTTTTCCCTATTCTGTTATTAGAATGACTAAACTAAGCATTTTCCTTATGTTACATCGAGCTCTTTTAAGGGTTTGTAAACTAAAACGCTGAAGTATTTTAAGGTAGGTTGACAACACAGCTGGATTCTATCTACTGCATGACTCCGGCTTACCATAACGAATTGCTTTAAATTACAGGACAGTCAGTGCCACTCCACACTAAGTCAACAGGCATTTTGAAACACAGTAAGCTTACACCCACATCAACAAGATAAAATTTCAAGCACACAGGAGGATTTGAGACAAACACTAGAGAGAAAACCGAGCACAGAAGTAGAATGAGCCAGTCTGTCAACATCAGGCAGCTGTTGGAGCATATTTACTACTCGTGCTTTATAGAGGCATAACCATGGGAGCCTGTAAATTGAGGTCTCTGTGGTTTTGTGTAGTACGTCCTGGTACAACAAAGAGTCAAACTTTTCAGCAGCTTCAAGTGTGTTTGACAGCTTTGCAATAAAGAAAAGTTTCAATTTTACACAAGAACATCAGCATGAAAATAATGTAACATGCAACTAAAACTGTAGCATGTTTCTGACTGGGATTCATTTTGATACAAGAAAAAAGAAAACATTTCCATCATAGCCAGTTTTAAATTGAGTAACTAGCATTTATATATCAAACACCAATGAAGCCCATCATGGGCTCCATTCCCTAAAATAATAACACAATAAAGTGAAGGTGCAGCGATTTGTTAAAACATGTCAACATAAATGTAGCATATCAGGTGCGAAACGGAGTTTAAAGAATTGTAACAATCTGGATTATTTGGTGTGACTATCTTTAGATGGCTGCCGTTCCCTAAGACTGGTTCTGCCAGAGTCTTCTTCCTTGTTACTCATGGTTGTTGGGGGCATCTCTGCAGTGTTGTAGGGTCTAAACCTTACATTATGAAGCACCTTGAGCCAACTGTTGTTGCGATTTGGCATTATATATTTGTTCTGTCTGATGATCCCACACTGCTTCAGTAATGTTGGGGTCCGGGTTGTGGGGAGGCCAATCCATGACTGATAGTGTTCCATTGTGTGTTTTTCTATTTGGGTTTGCTTTTACTGTATTGGCACTGTTTTTGGGATCCACCTTTGCCAATCAGTTACTTTCCCAATGTTACTGCATGGTGGATCAACATCTGATGGTGTGTTCGTAATTCCATCAATTTTGACAAGATTCCCATCACCACTGGCTGAAATCCAGCCACAAACATGACAGAGCATCCATCAGGTGTTACAGATGGCTGTGAACACTCACTGTTGGACCTCTTGCCTGACCTCCCATCTGATCAGACTTTTTCCCTATTTCTTTAGGGCATGACTTTCAAATACAGTTCATCTGCTGTGGATAGTTTTTAGGCCTGTCACTTCTTCTTTTATCCTCCATTTTTCCAGTTTCCTCGAAAACTATGAAAGCCTGGAGAACTATTGTTCAAAGCTGCTTAAAAAATAATAAAACAAAGTCTGGTTCCTTGGAAACAAATTATAGAGAAATGAGGGCGGCTCAAGACTTTTGCATATCACTTTATTTATCTTGCGGTATTTTTCGCTCCACTAAAAAACCAGACAGTGTTTTTGGAAGGAAGAAAGAGGTCCTTGAAATTCACTGTAAGGAAACGTTAGACTAACATAGGCTGATAGATGTGATTAGGTATGCACGCTTTATAGCCCACCTTGTACTCAGATATTTGTATTCATTATGCACCTGCGTGTGAAAGCGATTGTTACTAACACATGCTCGTGTCATCGCAGAGCTGAACTGACAGAACAAAAAAAACCTTCACTTCTCTCTTTCTTCCAAACAACCATCAAGCATTTTGAAAACCACGCCACAAAAGTCTGTGCCAGGGGTTCAACATCAAAGCGAAATGTGAAAAATGTCTGCATTAAGCATGTGTGGGCTAACTTGGGTGGAGACCACAGCTTCCGTGAGTTTTGGGCGAAGTCTGCCTTTGGTATTTTAATGTCTAATGGAGGGACATAGGCATGGTTTGAAAAGAGGTCAGTCTACAAGTGCAAGACTTTGCCAGAGCTAAAGAATAACACAGTCTTACTATCAAATCCACGGGCCCACGTGCCTACATGAGCGCGACTGTCGTAGGGAGCTTAAGTCAGAAACGAAATTAAAAGAATAAATAAAAAACAACAACAAGCAACCAATGAAATTTACTCACATTCAACGACCATTGAACCCTGGGTCAGGACAGTTTGGATTGTGTTTTGAATGTGGTGAGATTTTGAATGTTGCTACCACAGCAACAACAGTGTCCCCAGGCTAAAATTAACATATTCATTTGCAAAAGATCCTGTTTGGCCCTGTGTTTGCATCCTGTTTTGCTGCTCCTGTCGGTGTGGCTTTACACTTTAGAAACCGGCTGGGAAAGGGAACATTATCAAACCAATTGAAAAGAGGTGTACCATTGTGTGTGCTTCAAAAAGCTCCTGTCCTGTCAGTAAATCTCATAGACCTCTGAGGCCTTCACAGCAAACATCCAGCCTCACTCAGTGAGCTGGCATTCCTTTGCCACGTGGCTAGAAGAGCCCTGAACTGCTCCATCAGCATGAGTTCAACGCTCACACTGCTAGCCTTCTGGCTTCACCAGCCACAACTCGCAGGACCACCTCCACAGATTTTTGGGAAATCTACTCTTAATTGTCAACAACTGACAAGCAAGAACTACGATGAGCGTGATTAATGATACACAAGCTTTAATCCTACATGCATGGCAGGAAACTGTGATTGGAATATTGTTGTATATTCATGGGGTTTTTTAAGCTTTTGTAATGTCTTCCATTGCCCGTATTTAGTCATTTTCTTTGACATTTGCATTAAAATAATCTTTTGGGCTGCTAAGTTATACCACAAAATGAACAAAAGAAACTTCCATTGTCATCACTATTGTCTGTTGCTGTATTTTCTCTATGCAATGACATCATTTTACTCTAAACTTTGGTGAGTGCTCAATAAGCTCTCATGCCCTTGGTGGACGGCTCAGTCAAAGAGATGTTTACTGCATTTATGTATTCACATTACAGTCTAAGCAAAGTGGTAAAACAGGCACCCTTATTGGAAACATCTGCTATAGGAGCCTGCGAGGACTATTGAAAAGGTACCACTTACTGTCTTCAGAGCCAAGTCGATGCTCAACACTCTAACTGCACTGTCTCTGGCAGAGTCCTATGACTTCACCATCCCTGCCTGACAGAATGGAAAGTCACTTGTGGGCCGACACAGTGAATCCGCAAAGCAGCTGTAAAAAATATAACTAATGACAGATGAAGCAGGCTGAACGCACATGCACACACGCCATACACGTCTTATGTCTAACCATATAATGCTTAATAGGATTGGAGATTTTGATTGCATGTAGGTTTAAGTTTCCTGTGTGTTTAGAAAGGAGTATAATTAAGTGAAACTACCTTAGTCCTGAGAAGATCAAGGGAAGTGATTAATTGTAAAAAGGCTGGTTTTTATATAGAAATAGCTTTGGTTTGTTTGTTTTAATTATCAATCCAGGAAGTACTAATATCTGATAAATTGTCAGTGATGTCACAGTACTTTGTGCAATCATTTTGTTGTAAAAAAAAAAAGAAAAAAGAAAAGAAACAAAACTCCTGAACAACAAATGCTTGTTTGGAACAGTGGCCAAGAGAAAGGCTCTTTTCCTCTTAAAAAAGAACTTGTAAGCACAGCTTAGGTTTGCAAAGTCGCATCTGAACAAACCACAAGACTTCTGGAAGAATCTCCTTTGGTGAGACAAGACCAAAGTGAAGATGTTTGACCATAATTCCCAGCACCACATCTGGGAAAAACCAAACATAGCATATCAGCACAAACACCTCATACCAACTGTCAGCCAAAGTGGTGGAGGGGTGATGATTTAGGCTTTTTTTGTTTTGTTTTTTTGCAGCCACAGGACCTTAGAGTTATTGAGCCCACCCTGACCTCCTCTATATAACAACTTGTTCGAGAATCAAATGTAAGACTAACAGTAAGCTTGGCCTAAACTAGGTCATGCAAGAGGACAATGATCCCAAGCACACGGCTCTCATGTTGGGTCACTGGAGCAGGTAGCTCTCCAAATTTGATTTGGCAGATTCTTGTAAAGAAAAGTGGGACAAAATTCCTCCACAACAAATTGACAGAATGACACAATCCTACAGAAAACGATTACTTTAGGTTCTTGATGCTAAATGTGGTTTTTCAAGCTACTGAATCATGCGATGTACTTTGTTTTTCACAGTACTGTGAGAACATTTTATCTCATTCCTGCGTACGGATGAGCATGCAACTGAGTGTCCTACATATAAAATGAAAGCACTGACGAGCCTTTGAGAGACACCGCCAGGTATCAGTTTTCAGTATGAGGAATCTTAGGAATGTGAAAGTGTACCTGCAACACCTACACAACAAAAATCTTTAAATCTTTATGTCCTCCTACACTACTCTATAAGATATATACTTTCTTTGTCTGTGGCCCTCAGGAACATGTTAATTTGTTACTAGCAAAGCCAGAAATAATTTTTTAAAAAGAGGCATAAACAAAACATTTTGTACCCTATGTAGTATGGCCTTTGTATACCTGTGTATCTGAAAAATGGCACCAAAGAGGGGGGGGGAAGCAACAACGATTCATTTACTTGTGACTTTATGGTGTCAGTCTGTTTGTTTTTTCATTATTATTCAGTTGAATCAATTTTTTCTCTAAATTTTCATAGATATGGCATTCACACTGGCCACTATTTTCCCTACTGGCAACCCTTTTTCTTT